CTAAACCCTCTCCATCTCCCTCTCCCTGTAGCCCCCGCCAGCCGCGCAGCCTCCGAGCGCGCCGCTGCCAAATCGGGCGGGGCCGCGGCCGGCAGGGGGCCCGTCTGCCACGGGCGCGCCATTCTGGCGCCCGCAGCTCGCCTTAGCCTCGCCGCGCGCGTGGCCGAAGCTTCTCGAGCCTGGCTCTGGCAATCGTCTTCCCCACCGCGGAACCGCTGAGGTCGTGGCCAAGGTTTCGCATGTGTCGGCAAGCCCAAATCTTGACCCGCTCGGCGAAGGGCTCGGCCGCCACCTTGCCCTGCCTCGGCGACGCCGCAGAGCCAGACTTGAGCACCTGCAGCACCGAGCCCACGCCCGCGACGTCGCGCTTGTAACGCTTGACGGCCCCCCAGTCCACCCGCGCCGCCTGCGGGCCCAGGCCGACCCACTGCACGGAGATGTCGTCAGCCAGCGTCCTCGGGATGACAACAAACCGAGCGTGCCGCATGAGCGCCCTCGCCGCAGCCACCTCCAGCACCGCCATCGAGTGGGAGCACCCAGCGAGGAAGCCTCGGCGCGCGGCGTAGCTCTTCGGGAGCGAGTCACGCGCCTTCAAGCGCCTCGGCAGGTGCTGGTACTTGAAGTGCGCCCACATGGGGCACAGCGGGTAGCCCATCCAGCCCCCTGCACCACCTGCCCCCCTATCAAACTTCCGGCCGCCTTCCAGGCACCGAGGAGCACGGCGACGCTGCGGCCTCCGTCAAGGCCCCCCCCCCCCCTTGCCTCGACGATGCCACAGATCCAGACTTGAGCACCTGCAACACCAGGCCCACCCCCGTGACGTCGTGCTTGTAGCGCTCGACGGCCTCCCAGAGCACCCGCGCCGCCTGCTGGTCCAGGCCGACCCGCTGCGCGGAGATGTCATCGGCGAGCGTCCTCGGGATGGCACCAAACCGAGCGAGCCGCATGAGCGCCCTCGCCGCAGCCAACTCCAGCACCGCCATCGAGTGGGAGCACCCAGCGAAGATGCCTCGGCGCGCGGCGTAGCTCCTCGAGAGCGAGCCATGCGCCTTCAAGCGCCTCGGCAGGTGCTAGCACTTGAGGAGCGCCCACATGGGGCGCAGCGGGGCGCCTTCCAGCCATCGAGGAGCGCGTCGACGCCAGGCCCCCCGTTGGGGCTCGCAATCTCCGCCGCCAGGTCATGGTGGAAGGCCGCCGCAGATGACGATCTGCCAGCGCCACCTGTGGCCCAGAGGTTGTGCACGTCTGCGTCTGCCAGCCAACTTCTCGAAACCGTAGACCTCGCCTTAGCCCATAGTCGAATAAAGGAATTGACTAGGGCAATCAATATGACCCCCCCGCCCCGCTCGGGGACTCGAGTCAAAATAGCGCACGACCTGCTCGTCGACCACTCTCCTAGCTTCTCGCGCAGGCTGAAGAGCGCCGACAGCACGACCGATTCGATTCCACTATGCTGCCGCAGGGCCCTCGAGGCGCCCAGCCTTGGCAGCTCGGCCCAGATGTCGAAGCCGTGGCTTCTCCAACGCAGGCTCCTCATGGCACGTCCAGAAGTCGGTCCACTCCTGGAGCTCGCGGTCGACCATCTGGCGCGGGGCCTCGCGCGGTGGCCATCCGCACCTCGGCTGCAGGTGGCAGCCTGGCGAAGCCGTGCGCCGCTCGAGCGCCGCCCTCCAGGCTCTTGGCGGCTCGGCTGCTCCGCTCCTTCTCGCGCTCCCTGTTGCAGCGTCTGGTGAGCCGCTGGGCCTCGTTGGAGACCCGCTGGGCCTGTGCGCCCCACTGGTCGCGGGCTATCCGCACAAGGCCCCCGCCGGACCACTGGGCCGCGTCGTCGGGGAGCTGGCTCCTGACGCGGCCCGACCTCGCCACTTTGGCGCAGCGGCGGCGGGCCTCCGTGAGCAACCCGGCAACCTGCTCAACGTTGTCCTCGACGCTGCCGCCCAGGGCCACGTCGCGCGCCAGCAGCTTCTTGGGGCGGCTGCGACTGGCATCCAGGTGCCTCGCCCAACGCGTAGCCGCCATGTGGGCGCTCACCTTCGGGTCGCGGAGCTCCCCCATGCGGGGCGGCGGCCGATTGGGCTGGGCCAGCCTGACGGCAGGCTCGCGCCCTCGAACCGGATGCTGCTTCCTCGCCGCGCCCACAAGGTGCCAGCGGTCGCAGAGCTCGGCCTTTGCCGCGCTGGCAGCTGCGCCCCGCGCCTGATCCAACCCGCTGGTCTCGGACGCGCTGGGGGCCAGCTGGCGCGCCTTCTCTAACGTGCGCTCACGGGGAAAAGAGGCCGCCCCCACTGGCGCTACCGCGGCGAACTGACGCGGCTCGACAGCGACCCGCGCGTCGGCCTCGCGGCCCACCGTGGAGATGTCAACGTGGACTGGGCAGCGAGAGCGCAGCGACGCGTCGGTCGCGACGCGCGCCTCGCCCTCCCTGGCCCCCAGGCTTGGCGCTGCGATGACGTCGCCCAGGAAGGGGCCCTCGGCCGCTTGCCAGCAGGTCGGCTTTCCAGGCGCGATGGGTGCGCCTCGTACCTCATCGGGCCACGGCCCACTGAACTCACCAATCTCCATATTCTGCTCGCCCATGGCCGCCCGTCCAGCCCGCGCGCGCTTTGCACGCGCAGGTAGGTCATCAGCTCGTGGACCGCGTCGCCGCTGTCGTCGACCATGCCGACAGCGTGCCTCGAGTGCACTGAGACGACGATCAGGCCACCCTTCGCGCCCCAGTGCGCGTGGCCAGCCAGCAGCCTCGCCTCCTCAAGGATGGGGGAGGGCGCGAAGGGCGGCGCGGTGACCGAGATCACGCTGCGCGCGAGGAGCGCCGCCCCGCCCGACACCTCGAGCGCTCGAGCACCCGTGGCCCGGCGTGGGGCCCACAGCCCGTGCTAGCCCAGGTCGCGCACCTGGACCTGCAGCGAGGGCCACGTGCTGCTGCACCGCGAGCAGGTCGCCCTCAGGAGCTTCGGCGAGGTACTCGGTCAGTCCTCGCACACATGAAACGTTGACCGTGGTCAGCACACCTTTGACAACACCCAAACTGCCCATGGTACTTGCCGTTGCTGTAGCTTCCGTCGTCTCGACAAGAAAACAAATCATCATCATCACAACGCCTCTCGCCTTAGTACGCCTGGTATGCCCACTGGCTGGAGGCCGCCGCCATATTGTGCGCCATGGTCCTGATGGCGCACCCGTCGGCCAGCACGGCCACCCCAGCCTCGGTGAGGCTGGCCCACAGCGTCTCGATGGGCGCCTTGTCGGCCTCATACTTGAGGCGTTTGGGGCCGGGCGCCTGCGCGCCAGCCACGCCAGGGGCGCCCCCAGGAGCAGGCCGAGCACGCTCGGCAACAGCAGGATGGGTGAGCACCTTGTCGGCGAGCTCCGGACGGGCCAGGAGCCGCTCCGTGACCTCGCCCGAGGCGCTGAGCTCCATGAGCAGCCCCTCCAGGCCCGCCAAGTTGAGGTCGTGGCCCTTCTCGACGGGGGTGTCCTTCTCGTTTGGCGGTTCGGGGACCGCGGCGTCAAACTCACACATCTTCGTCGCAACTCGAGCTCTTCAGCCCGCAGCGTCTTGACCCGCTCACGCTCGTTCTCGAGCGCCTTCTGGGCCTGGGTGACCGCCTGCTCGGCCGTGGCCACCGATCCCTCCTTCTTGATGGTGGCATCCTGCTTCGCCTTGAGCTTCCTTCTGTAGAGCCAGCAGCTGCGTGAGGACGGGCTGCGTCGAGCGGGTTTCCTCCAACAGCTCGCGCTTGTGCTCATCGACCTTGTCGATCGTGCCCTCGACCAAAAGTGACGGCGACGTGATAGCACGGAGGCTACGCATCTCTTCGTCCAGCTGTGCCAAGGCATTCCGATGCGTTTCATATGCGTCCTCCGCGGCGCCGTCCTCAGTGGCCTTCGCCGCCTCAGAGAAGTGTCCCTCGGTCTTGTTCGCAACCCGTAGACTCTCGATCTCCTCTCGCAACTTGGTCACTTGCCTGGCGACACTGTGCACGGCCGCGCCGCATTGACCACATGCAGCCGCTGGGCTAAGTACTCGGTTGGCGACGGCGTGAGTCCTTCCTCCCCATGCGCACGGCCCCACGGCCGAGGAAAGCAACTGATTTGTCGCACCCACAGAAGTGACATTGCTCGTTGGTTACGAAGGTGACGCAGGGCATCCCAACCTTGGGCCCTCGCTCGTGCTTGCAGAACATAAAGTACCAGTCTGGCGTGATCTCCCCGCGACCTCCTGGCGCAATGGTTCCTTGCCTGCACTCTGGCGCAGCGAGGCCAGCCACGCGCGCATGCTCACCTGCGGGCTGCAGGAGGCACCCAAGGACCTGAGGCGGATCAGACCATGGCAAGAAACGGTTGGATCTAACCGCGGACTAGTGGTATCCACATGTTCCCGAGGAAGAGAAGGATAAGGAGGAGGAGGAGGAGGGGGGAGGAGGAGGGGGAGAGGAGGAGGGGAGAGGAGGAGGGGGGAGGAGGAAAGGGGAGAAGTGGGAGGAGGGGGACCGAATCCTCCCTGGAGGGAGGGGGGGAGAGGGGATGACAAACAGCGAGAAGGTGGAAGGAAAGAGGAGGGAAGAGAGGGGATAGGCGAATGAGAAAGCTGCATACGCACAAACATTGAGAGCTCCTCGTGAATTTCTTGGATCGGCGCTGGGCCCGCCGCTGTGGCGCGCGGAGCGTGCCAGGGGGCGGCGCCAGAGGCGCTGCCAGGGGGTCCGGTGCTGATCCAAGAAGTCAGCTCGCCGCCCCGAACGTTTGTGTTGATGCAGTTGCTTGTTTCTCTTAGGAGGGGGAGGCCAGGAGGAAAGGCCTCCCAGACGGGGGCCGCCTAGATGGGGTCGAAAGAAGGCGCCGCATCGGCGATGCATCGCCGCTGTATCGGGGATGCATTGGCGACGTCGGCGCGGAGAAATCGGGCTCCGCACCGAATGGCCGACGCATCGGCGATGCGACGCGATCCTCCGACCCCACCTGGGAGGCCTTGAAAAAAGGCCCTGCCCGTTGCAAGCCTCGCCCGCGCCGCGCGGCCGCAAGGCGGTGCTCGATGTCGCGCCACCGCTCTGCTCTCCCGCCGCTGGCCCCGCCGCAACTCCCGCCACCGGGTCCAACGACCGCACCCGGGCCCGCCGGCTGCCCTCTTTGCCGAGCTCCAGAACGAGCGCCCGGGTGCCGGGCAGCAGCGTGGCAACCTCAGGGCCGGACGTATACATATATATATATACACATATACACACATATATATATATATATATATATAAATATATATATAGATACATGGAGAGACAGAGAGAGACAGAGAGAGAGAGAGAAATAAACACTAAACAGTGTCTCTCCAGCATTACACCATGTGCCGGGTCTGTGGGACCATGAAAATGTGAAGCTGGCGCATCGCAACAGCCTCGCTTGCGCACGCATGCTCGCGCGCAGAGCGACCAGCAAGTCCAACGCGTCATGCATACAAGCCACGACGATGCTCGGGCACGTCAGCGCGAGTCGGTGTCTCGGACGTGCGCGGTACCATGGCGACGTCGATAATAGCAGACACGATGATGATAGCAACGATGCTGGTGGCGGCGATGACGACGACGGCAAAGCCAAAGATGACACAGATGCTGATCACGCCGAAGACGATGACGGTGTCCACGTGCGCGCGCAGCCTACGGGCGCGAGTGGCCCTCGTGGTTTTGTTGACAGGAATCGCGCACCTCCCCCTCCAGCACGCGAGCAAGGCGCAAGGACGTTCGAATTATTTCGACATGCGCGCCAGGGGCCCGTATGATCGCATGTTGTTCAGGTTGTTGCATTTATTAAATGACGAGTTCACAACCAATGACGTGCCCAGAATCGCAACGCGCACATGGTTGAAATCGAAACGACCTAAAACGTGTCTGAGCTTCGTGAGTCACCACGTAAACTCCAGCGACAAGAGACTGAATAGGAGCACAGGGGACGAGGCGGTCAGAACCGAACACCTCCCGTGCCGACGAGGCTGAGGCATCTCCAATGTCCGGCCATGCTCTTGGAGCCCAACTCCAAGCGAACAAGAATCGCAAAACACAAAGATATTCGGGAGGAGGGAGAGGAGGGAGGAGGAGGAGGAGGAGGAGGATCAAACCAGCACACAAGGAGCAACGCCCAAGCCAACCTGCCATAGGCGAGCCGTTGCAAACATGCAACAGTAAGCAGAGCCGCACCGCAGTGGCTCGCGCGGGGGCTGCAGCAGACAGCTCACACATACGTAATAACAAACGGCGGCATACAAGTAGAGGAAGGAGCAGAGCGGGAAGGCAGAGACGAACGACCGAAAAGATAGGAAGTTCCTGAGTAAGGCGGCCACCGAGCAGGATTTGTCAAGAGTGTAGCCGCGCATCTCCCCTGCTGCGCCTCAGATTGCAACGATCCCCCCCTTGGGGTTGGGAGAAAATGCGGACGTATACATCAACAGAGGATACCAGGGACATCCTGAGAGCAACGATGCATACATCCATGATGCCACGCATTTGACGATGCATGAATTCAACGCGTGCTGCCATTGCGAAAACAAAACTGGGTGCGCCCGACCCTCCCCTTAGGCCTTGGGCGCAGATGAGCTGCGGGGCGCACAGCATGCAACACAGCGGCCCGTATGATCGCATGTGTTGAAAGTGTTCAAACGAAGATGGTTTTCAAAGAATTCGAAGGGGCCACAAGCGCTGCAACGGGGCCACGAGGTGCAGCAAGGCGGCTACGAAGGGCTGCAACGGGGCAACGAAGGGCAGCGAGATCCCGATTCCTAAGTAAGCTGTAAGGGAGTTCCAGGCGTGAGCGCGACTCTTGGGTGCCCGAGTATCGGGAGCGCGGCGCTTGAGTACATTGCGGGGAACTCCAATGCAAGAACGTGATTCTTGAATCGATTGCAAGCAAATCTCCAGCGAGAGCGCGACTCCAAAGCACGGGGAGAACGATTCCTGTGTAAATTGTCAGGAGGTCCAAAGCGAGAGCGCGCTTCCAGAGTAACATGCAAGGGAGTCTCAGGCGGGAGCGGGGGTCCTGGCTAAATTGTGAAGTCTCAGGCGGGAGCCGTTGTTGTTGTTGCTGTTGTACCCCTGGGGCCAGGGCACAGTTTGACCCTAGTGACGTTCCCTGATCAAAAACGGGAGCGAGCCCCGGCGAAAACACTTCAATTGAAAAACACAATGGTCAACGGAGGGGGGGATCAACAGTAATTATTCGTCAGCAATGAGAGTTCAACAACAAAAACAACAATAACAACGACGAGAACAACAACAATCATTTAAAAACGGTTCGCTCCTATCTGCTCACGTGCCAACCAATACGTATACACCAAAACCTCGGTACCTGCCCTCGTCGTCTTCGATCGTACCCCCTTGGGGGTGTATCTTCCTTACCTGCCACGCGCATTTAGTGCAGCCCCTGAATCAAGGGAAGAGAGGACGGGTAGAAGGGGGAGGGAGAAGAATGGAGCACCAGAGAAATTAGCAGGAGGGGGGGCAAGAGCAGAAAACATGTGATAGAACCAGACGGGCAGATCGAGTGGGCAGACCCATAGCGAGCAGGTCGAGAAGGCGGGTCCAGGCGGCCAGGTCGAGTAGGCAGGTTGCTGAAGCGTGGGTCCTGCATGAATAGAAATGAATTATCTTGCGATAGCGCGATTCCCAAGTAAATCGCGAAAAAAGCCAAAGCGAGAGCGTGATTCCTGAGCGCCGAGGGCGCATCGTCTGAATGCATTGCGAGGGAGTCCCACGCGAGAGCGCGATGCGTACATGAATTGTGAGGCAGTCCCAAGCGAGAGCGCGATTTGGGAATCAATTGTTAGGAATTATCAGGCGGGGGCCTCTGGTGTTGTACACCGGGGGCCAGGGGCACAGTTTGAGCCCCGTGACTCTCCCTGATTAAAAATAGGGTGCGAGCCCCGAGGGAAGCACTTCAAGTGAAAAAACACAATGGTCACCGAAGGGGGGATCCTCAGTAATTATTCAGCTGCGAAGGTTCAAGAACGACAACGACAACAACAACAACGCTCGGACTTGATACTTGCTCTTTTTTACTTGGAAATGGTGGGATTGCTCGCCGCCGAAAGCCGGCTTTCCAACACAACCAGCGCTCCCACTCGATACTTCTTTGCTTGTTACTCAAGACTGGCGCTTCCGCCCCGACGCCGCAGACGGCCCCCCCGCCGCAGACGGCCCCCCCTGCAAACGATGACGCTCCCGCTCGACACAGCCTCCACTTTCATTCAGGATTCCCAGTGGCCCTGAGGCTCACGCTGAAGCGTTTCGGGTTTCTGCGGTTGTCCCCCGCTGGGGCGCCCTGGCGCACGCGGAAACCCGCGGCGGCGAATGCGTCGTGGTCGTCGTCGTCGTCGTCGTCGTCGTCGTCGTCGTCGTCGTCGTCGTCGTCGTCGTCTGGTTCTTCCTCGTTTGTCTCCTCGTCCTCCTCCTCTTCCTCCTCCTCGTCTCCTCCTACTGCTTTTTCTTTTTCCTCTTCCCACCGAAGCCCAGAAGCTGCTTCGATCCAGGTCTTTCTCCTAAATGCCTCGGCGCCTCCTTCAGGAGGTCCCGGAGCCCCCCAGCTAAGCTTCGAATTGTCTCCCAGGTGCCTTCTAGTACCCACAGAGGCTGCGAAGCTTCTCTGAAAGGCTTCGGAGGCTTGCAAAAGAGCTCCGGAGGCTTTCCAAGGGGCCCCGGGGGCTCTCCCAGAGGTTGCGGGGCCTCTCCCGTAGGTTTTGGGCCACCCGTGCGTGGTGATACCTAGGCGCAAAGCGTGGGAAAAGAGATTGAGAAGGCGAACTGCCATCCGGGCGGGGGATGTTGAAGTGCCGCGGAAAACGTGTTGCCAAGCTTTCCTCGGGCGGGAGATCTGGGTAATGGAACATCGCCCCCCCTGCGAAAGAGAACCCGCCTGAGGGGTATGTCGTGATGACTGAGCTGCCTTGAGAATCGTAACGCATCCGGGTTGCATGAGTATTACTGTTGATGTCGTCGTCCCACTCGGGACCCCGCCCACGACCCGCCCGCGACACGCCCGCGACCCACCCACCACAACCCACCTGCCACCCACCCGCGACCAACCCGCGACCCCCACCCCCGATCCACCCGCGACCAACCCGCCACACATACGCGACCCCCCCCGCGAGCCACCCGCGACCCGCCCACGACCAAACCGCGACCCACCCCGCGTCCGCCCCCTCACTCGTATGCGCAACTGCGGGGGTGCGATATGCTTGTATCAACTCTCGGAGGTCCGAACGGATGTCTTGCATCGGCGCTGGACCCCCCTCCCTGGCTCGTGAAGGCGCCAAGGGGCGGTTGCCGGAGACGCCGCCAGGAGGCTCCAGCGCCGATCCGAGAAAATCTGCGCGAATCTCCAAATGTCTGTGTTTACAGTTGTGTTCCCCGAGACCCCCATCCCCTCTGGCGCGGCCTGGGCCCCATTGGCCGAATTACACGCCTCAGGTCGCGATGTCAGCCTGTTCCTTCGGGCTCCGCGGGCCTATCCCCACCCAGGAGGGCGGGCTGGCGGGGCTGACGTACCATGGTGCAGCGGGGATGAGTGGGGTAGAGGATGCTGAAAATCGGTGGCTGCAGGAGCGGGTCCCGAAGCCGCGCGACAGACACGGTGTGAGGCGGTAGGCGGTTGTTGACGCCTCGGGGATGCGTAGCCTCCTGGCCAACACGCAGGTGTCAGGCCAGTGGCAGTCCGAGCTGGAATGAACAAAAAGAGCTCTGTGGTATTTTACCCGTTCTAGGGGGCCGAGAGAGCCCTCAGCTTGTTCAGCTGCTGTTGGAGAAATCGTTCTCTGTCTAGCACTGTCGCTGCGAGCGCGCCTGTGTGTTCGATCGCTTGCCCCACCCAACGAGACTCGAAGCAAGGCGAGTTGAGACAACGGAAACTTGACATCGGTCCCTGGTCTGCCCCCAGCGTCCGGGCACGTCAATTTCCTGAGTTCCGTGCAGCCGTGGCGACGAGGGCGCCCCCCGAAAGCCAACCACCGTTGCCTCGATTCGACCTCCTCTGAAGAACCGTCTTGTCAGCAGCGACAGCCGGCGCCAACGCGTTCGCGTAGCGTGCGGGCTGCGCCGGAACGACGGGCGCACAGAGGCGACTGGGGGAAAGAGGAGGGCGGCCGCGGAGCAGGAAAGCGGGAGGAGGCCTCGAGCGTAGAGAATCTTCGCCACGGGGAGTTCCCAGGCCTCGGCTCGACGGTCGCATCACGCGTGATGCGAGTCAGATCGCCCCAACAGGGGCAGAGCGGCACGCACCCGTGCACGCCGCAGGACCTGGAGTCCGAAATGCGTCGCCAAGGACAGCCGCGGCGCAGGGGACGAGCGCGCAAGTGAAACCCCTGCGCTGGCCCACAAGATTCGGAGGACAACGACGATGAAGACACGGTCGCAGAGGACGGAATGATTGACGGAAGTTTCCACGTTTGGCCCTTTCCTCCTCCTCCCCCTCCTCCTCCTCCTCCTCCTCCTCCTCCGTTTCCTTCTTTTCCTCCTTCTCCTCTTTCAAACCTTCTCCTCCTACTCCTGCCTTCATCAATTTTCTTTCGGACGCCTCCAGCCACACCGTGACAAGCCTCTATAACAAGCCTCTACAGAAACATCAAAAGTTGCGCTGGACGCTGCCGTTTTTTGCAATGGAACAATTTTGTTTTAGCCGGGGAGTCAAAATAAGTGCGCCCTCTAGGGCCAGGGCTTCACTTGTGAAGGGAGATATAGGCGGACGAATGTCCATGCTATTCATAACGATTGGCAGAGCGAGCTCCCCTCCCTCCCTGCACCTCCTCCGACTCCGACTCCCTCCCTCCCTCCCTCCCTTCCTCCTCGTGCTCCTCATCTCTTCTGATCTCCTCCTCCTCCTCCTCCTCCTCCTCCTCCTCCCCTCCCACCTCCTCCTCGTCCTCGTCCTCGTCCTCCTCCACCTCATCCTCCTCCTCCTCCTCGTCCTCGTCCTCGTCGTCCTCCTCCTCGTCCCTACTAATTTTCCTCATCCTCCTCCCTACCCATTTTCCTCCTCCCCCATATACTTGGAGCTCAAGTTCCAGGCGCACTGGGCGCAAATTACGGTTTCGACCATTGCCCAGAAGATCGACCTGCCAGATGCGCAGCCAGACCTCAACAACGCACGGCGTCTCATCGCTGAGTGCAGCGGCTCGCAACACGAGTGCGGCATGCTGTTGTCACGTATTATCTGCAGGTCTTTGTGGACGGCGCACCAGCTCCGACAGGCATGTTTCGATGCGAACCCCAAGCGGATTTGCGGGGGGGGCCCTTCGGCTCCATTTCGCACGCGCTGCATCGCTGTTCGTGCACTCAACAGCTCCGAGAGGAGCTACTAGCTGAATCGGACAAGATTCTGATCTCTGACCCTCATCGGGATGTCCCTCTCGCTCGCGGCTTTCAAGAGAGGCCGCGGGCCGTGGCCACAGGCGCCCGCAGGAGGGGGCCTCGATCGAGGTGGCCTTCACAGGGGAGGTTTTTACGGGCGGCTCCTGTTTTAAGGGCGGTCGCGCCACTCTCCGCGCAGCCGGCTGGTCTGTTGTGAAAATCGCGCCAGCAGGGGAGCTATTCGCGGCGTCGCGGGGGGCAGTCGTTGCGGACTACCCCCGAACCTCCCCGCCTGCTGAGCATATCGCCGTGTTGGCAGTTATGCAGCACCGTTCGCGCGTGAAAACTATGTATTCGGATTTCCTCGGCCCCGCTGAAATGGCGGGGGCGCCGCGGGCCCTGGTCGCTGCCAGACAACGCGTCTACGCGGGGCTCCACATGCAGATTCGAGGATCGCCAGCGCGGACAGACGATTTCCAGATCTCGAAAGTCCCAGCTCATGCGCGGCTGGACGACCTTCCACAATTGCCCGCCGAACGGTCAAAAATGAGTCGGAAACGATCTGGCCGACCGTTTTGCCAAAAAAAGGGGGCTTGCACAATAGCGCGGCAGTCGCGCGTGGAAGTCAGCGCTTGGACGGACGACGGAAGAATCGGAATCGTCGCTGCGGCGACATCTCAAGCGCGTCGTCCAAGCGCTTCTAATGTTCCCCAGGCTGGCGCCACCCAAAGCTTCGAGGTCCACTTTCGACCACAATCTTCGCCGCCCGGTTTCCACCGCCGGCATTGGCGCCGCACGGCAGCTACCACCTGCGCCCCCCGCCGCCCCTCGCCGCCCCCCCCCCCTCCTCCTCCATCGCCGACCCCGGCCGAGGCGGCGACAAGCGCCGCAGCCCGCGGGGGCGGCCATGAGTGGGCATGGAAGCGAACCCCTTGGACGTGCCAGCGATGCTTGCGGCTTACGCGAGGAGGGCGCAAGCCTTCGCCGACGGCGGCCCCCTGCCGGCGGCGCAGCGCACCTTTTGGCAGCCTGGTTTCCGGAAAGCACGCGCTGCAACTTCTCTTCAGGGGCGGTCTTCACACGCAGCATGAATGCAGCACCTGCGGTGCTTACTCGGAGACCGGGTCGCGAAAGAGGCTCGGCGAAGATTGCCCGAATGGGTGGCCGCCCAATGGAGCGCGGCACTCCTGGGACAGATTCGCCCGCGGGCAACGCCCGAATGCAAAAATTGGCCCTGCGACCTGCCTGAATGAGTACCTCCCCGTCTCCGCGCTCCGCTCGGTCTCCGGCCCCTCTCAGGAGAAGAGGCGCTTGTCGATATTCCGTCTGCCGCCCCTTTTCGTTGGCCTTTCCCCGTCCTCCTCTGACCCCTCTGCCTCCTCTTGCGGCCTCCTCAGCTGCCTCGGCCTCCTGGTGCTGAGTCGATGCTCCTCTGCCTTCTCCCGCGGCCTGAACGGCAGCTGGCGCGAGCCGCCCGTTACTCCAGGGGCGGGCGTCTCCCCCTGTCCCTCCTCTTCTGACAGGGTACCCCCCTGAATTCCATGGCTGTCTCTCCGGGGCGCGCGGGCCCTGGGGAGTTCCCGGGCTGCCTGCCCCTGCGGCCTGGGCAGCCGCTGGCGCGAGCCGCCCGTCACTTCTGCGGTGGTGGTTTCCTCCCTGCCTTCCTCCTCGGGTTGCCTCCTCAGCCGCCTCTGACTCCTGGTGCTGAGTCGGCACTCCTCCTCTGCCTCTCTTGCTGCCTGAGCGGCAGCTGGCGCGAGCCGCCCGTCACTCTGGGGGTGGCTATCTCCCCCTGCTCCTCCCCCTTTGCAGTGGTGCCCCCTGGAATTTCGGGGGCGCCTCCTCGGGGCGCGCGGACTCCCTGGAATTCCCGGGCCGCCTCCTCCTGCAGCCTGGGCAGCCGCCGGCGCGAGCCGCTCGTCACCTCTACGGTGATGGTCCCCTCCTCTGCCCCCTCCTACTCTGCCTCCTCGGGGCGCAAAGCCCGGGGCTGTCGGTGGCGGGCCGGACTCGGCGCCGCGCTGTCGGTCGAACGCCGTGCCCTCAGCGCTCGCGCGACCAAGCAGAGTCCGCCAGTGCTTAGGGGACGGTCAGCGTCTGGACAAATCACGCCCCCCTGGGCAACCGGCTTGGTGCGATGCACTGTTTGGCACCGCCGTCCTGTGAGACAAAATGTTGCGGGATGGGGTCAACATGTGTTGTCTCGCAAAATGCATGCAACAAAATGTGACAATTTTTCGGCGCCTCGCTTCTCCTAAACACTGGCGAAAGAAGGTTGAACGTGAGAAGGGTTTTCCGCGACACGACGCGCGTACGTTGATGCATTACGTCGGCACCAATGGGCGGACAAATCGCCCCCCCCCCCCCCCAGGGCAACCGCCAAGATGCGACACACTGTTTGGCACCACTTCCCTGTAAGGCAAAATCACCCCTTGGCCCGTCCCCCCCTCTCGGCACCGTCCTAATTTCCCCATCTCTTCCCCTCCTCCCCCACCGAGCGCCTTGTCAAACCTGGATGCCGCCACGCACGCCCGGGTATCTCGCACGCAGGTGCGACCAGGTAGGTGGACAGAAAGGCCGCCACACATCGTGCACACCCCCACTCCCACTCCCAACACCATTCCCACCACTCACGTGACCTTTGCATCACGGTCCAGCCGCACCACACCAATCTGTCCGCAAGTTCCCCCCCCCACACGTCACAAGATCCTCCTGCACCCTGCATCTTCGGACCCTCAATGGTCGGGTGCGCCCCCGCACTGCCGAAGGGCTGCGGTAGCAAGGATGGTGTCAACGAGCTCACGCGGCCTTGGCAGGTACCAAGATGCATCTCCGAACTCGAGCCGCAGTGCCTTGACCACGGTGCCTGGGCCATCACGATTCGTTGGCACAACCCATGTGGTATGGACCCAGATGGCCCCAGGCCATTCCCTATATCGGGCCACCGTGCCCTCCAGGGTGGTGTTCCAGGAAACTGGACCCACCAACGGGGTTCAGGCGCCCCTAAGCCTTCACATCAAGCTCCTCCTCCTCCTCTTCCTCCTCCTCCTCTTCCTCCTCCTCCTTTCCCCGCCCCCTTCTCCCACTTCTCCTCCTCTACCCCCGCCCCCACTCCTCTTCCCTCCCCTACTCCTCCCCTCCCCCCGACCCTCCCCCACGACCCTCCCCTACTACCCACTACCCTCCCCTCCCCTCCCCTCCCCCCGCCCCCACTCCCTCTTCTCCTCCTCCTCCTCCTCCTCCTCCTCCTCCTCCTCCTCCTCCTCCTCCTCTTCCTCCTTTGGTGTGCGAGCCCCACGCGCCTCGGGGCTGTCCAGGTCTTCTGTCGCTCTGATGATGGCCCCTTTTTTGCCCACGACCTCGAGCGCCGCAAGGGGGGTGGGCGGGGAATCCCAGAGGTCTCTTCGCCGGGCTTCCTCCTCGGACCAGGAGGAGGGGGAGGGGGAGCCCGGGATGGGGAGAGGGAGGGGGGAGGAGGAGGAGGAGGAGGAGGAGGAGGAGGAGGAGGAGGAGGAGGAGGAGGAGGAGGACGATGACAATGAGGATGAGAAAAGAGGAGGAAGAGTAGGAAGAGGAGGGGGAGGACTCATCAACGATGTTGGAATACACCCTCCCACCAGGGTCCGTCTTCACAGGCCCCCACGAGAACTCATTGCTACTGAAGGAATTGTCCCGGTGGGGGGACCACCGTGTGAAAATCCTGAAGCGTGCCAAAAACATCCTTGTCATGATTGAAACGCTACGACTCGACCTAACTGCCACGTCTTGGCGATCCTGAGTCGTATCAGAATACCATTCCTGACGTAACTGCTGCGCCCTGGCAAACCTGAATCGTTCCAAAACGCAAGTCCGGGTACCGTAACCATGGGAGTCATGGAAACAAGAGGGCGCGCACGTGGCACACTCCCGCAATGGGGGGGGGTCCCCTCCAGCTCCCCCCCCCCCCGTGGACTTCCCCTGCTGGAAACCCCCCCTCCTTTTGTCCCGCCCCTCGAAAGCTCCCCACCCCCCCTCCTTCCGCGCTCCAGAGGCTACCCCCCCTCCCTTTCCAAAAGGGGGGGGCCCCGTTTGGACCTCCCCTGTGGGGAACATCCCCCCGTTGTTTTCCACCCCGCGCTCCGGAAGCTGCCGCCCCCTTTTCAAAGAGGGGAGGGGGCCTAAGCTACCCCCCCTCCTTTGAACCTCCCCTGCCGGAGTCCCCCCCTCCTCATGCCGGCTAAAAGGGGGGAGGGGTTTGGACCTCCCCCCATTTTAGTTCAAGGAAGGGGCGCCGAAGACCAAAAGGACGCCGAAGACCAGCAGAGCGCCGAAAACCAAAGGGCCACCGAAAACCAAAAGGGTGCGAAAACCAGAGGCGCGCCGAAAACCGAAGGAACCCCGAAAACCGAAACGGCGCCTGAAAAAAACAAGACGTGCCCAGAACCAACAGGGCGCCGGAACCGAAAGAGCGCCGAAAACCAAAGAGGCGCCGAAAACCAAGAGGTCACCGAAACCAAAAGGCAGCCGAACAGATAAGCAACGGGCCTACGGGTGGCGCTCTAATCCCCTGCAGAGCGTAGCTTGCTAAACCACCCTGCCTCCTGGCAGCGCGAGTCCTTCGAAGAGTTTCCTCTCCGAGAGGGCCCAGAGGCCACTCTACACGGCAAGGCCGGTCACAAAGCGGTCAGGTAGGCAGCAAGAGAGACAGGAGGAATGTTCAAGCCAAAGCTGCGTCCCGGCAGCGAGGCCGATATTCGGCCGCTGCCTGGGTCTATCAAAGCGAAGAGCACCTGGAAGGACAGGCTCCAAAATACAGGAGGGGGAGGAGGAGGAGGAGGAGGAGGAGGAGAAAAGACTGCACCGGCCGCTTCGCGCCAGCACGCGGCCTCCGGGCCCAGGAGAAGAGGGAGGACAGGGAGGAGGAGGAAGGAGGGGGAGGGAGGAGGGGCAGCAAGCAGGCAGGCAAGCAGGGGGCAGCGGGGGGAGCACGGCCGCGGGGTGTGAGCCACCTGACCCCGCTGGTTAGGCGCGCGTGCTCGGGTGGGGGCGGACGGGGGTGGTGGGAAGGGGGGGCCCGCGCCCGCGGGGGTGGGCTGGCCGGCGGCCGGCGCCTTAGTCGTCACCCCCGCCAGGCCAGCAGGCCCTGACGTGGGCGGCCGCCCGCCGGCACAGCGCCACGCCAGCCGCGCTGGCCAGGCGGCGGTACCGCCACCCGCGCTGGCCAGGCAGCCGAAGACCACAGACGCGCCGAAACCCGAAAAAGCGCCGAGAAGCAAAGGGGCGCTGAACAACAAAAACACCGAACACCCAAAAAACACCCAATACCAAAGGGGCGCCGAAAACCAAGAAAGGCTCCGAAAACCAAAGGTGTGCCAAAAACCAAGGATGCGCCGAAAACCGGAAGAGCGCCGAAAGCAAAGGGGTGCTAAAAATCAAAAGCGTCGAACACAAAAAACACCCAAAACCAAAGGCGCGCCGAAAACCAAAAAAGGCTTTGAAAACCCAAAGGTGTAACCCAGAAAGCGCCGAAGACCAAAAGGGCGCCGAAAAACCTAAGGGGTGCAGAAACCCACAATGGCGCCGAAAACCAAAGGGGCGCCGAAACCCTGAAGGGCGCTGAGAACCAAAGGGTCGCCGAACTTGAAAAGAACGCTGAACACCAAGAGGCGCCGAACCCAAGGGGCGCCGAACACCAATAGGGCGCCGACAACCAAAGGGTCGCCAAACGTCAAAAAGGCACCGAAAACCACAACGGTGCCATAAACCAAAGAGGCACCAAAAACCGAAAGGGCGCCGAAAACCAAAGCAGCGCGGAAAAACAAAGGGGAGCCGACACCACAAGGGCGCCGAAAACCAAAGGAGCGCCGAAAACCGACGGGTCGCCGAAAACCCAGAGGGCGCTGAAAACCAAAGGAGGCCGAAAAACAACAAATCGCCGAAAACAAAAAAGGGCGCCGAAAACCAAAGATGCGCTGGAAACAACAGGGCGCCGAAAACCGAAAGGACACCGAAAACCGAAGGGGCGCCGAAAACCAAGAGGGCGCCGAAAACCAAAGGGGCGCCGCCGAACACCCAAGGGGCGCCGGGAACCAAAAGGGCGTGGACGACAAAAGAGACGCCGAAAAACAAAAACCGTCGAACACGAAAAGGGGCGCCGAAAACCAAAGATGCGCCGGAAACAAAAGGGCGCCGAAAACCGAAAGGACACCGAGAACCCAACGGGCGCCCAAAACCAAAGATGCGCCAAAACCCAAAAGGCCCCGAAGAACCAAAGGTGCGCCGAAACCCTACAGGGCGCCGAAAATCAAAGGGGCGCTGAAAACAACAGAAGGTCCGAAGATGGACAAGACGCCGAAAACCAAAAGTCATGTGCCGAAAACCAAAAAGGAGCACCGAAACCCAAAAGGGCGCCGAAAACCAAAGGGTGTGCAGAAAACCAATGGGGCGCCGAAAACCAAAGGAGCGTCAAAAACCAAGGAGACGCTGAAAACCAAAGGGGAACCGAACACCACCGTTGCGCCGCAAACCAAACGGGCGCCGAAAAACCAAAAGGGCGCCGAAAACCAACAGGGCGTGGACAACCACAAAGGCGCTGAAAAACAACGACGTGCCGAAAGTCGAAAGGCCCCGAAAGCTCAAAGGGTGCCGATAAATCAGAAAGGGCCGCCGATAACCAAAGGCGTCGAAAATCAAAGGGCGCCAAAAACCAAGGGCGCGGCGAACGCTGAAGGGCGTCGAAAACCGCAGGGGCGCCAGAACCCAAGAGGGCGCCGAAAAGCAAACAGACGCCGAAACCGACAAGTACGACGAAAACTGACGGGGAGCCGAAAATCAAAGACGCCGAACACCACACATACGCCGAGAACCGACGAAGCGCCAATGACCAAAGAAAAGTAGCTTCGAAATAAACCTTTTGCCAGGGCGATTCAACTGAAGCGAACAGGAGGGGAGGGGGGCTTAGCTTCGGAAACCCCATCCCCTTGGAAAGGAGAGCCCGGGGTGACCCTGGTCCCGAGAAGGAAGGGAAGGAGGGGTTAGCCAGGGATCCCCCTGTTATAAGATCCGAACAAAAGGAGGAAGGGGGGATAGCATCGGACCCCCCCGCCCTGTTGAAAGGGGAGGCCCGGCTGACTTTGGGCTCAGGAAAAGAAGGGTCCCTTTTAGCTAGGGTCCCCCTTAGCTCCGAAATGCCCAAAGAAGGAAGGGATGGGGGATAGCTTCGGACCCCCCCCCCGGTTTTCCAATGGGTGGGTGGGGTAGCTTCCAGCTGGGGCTGCCATAGAATGATAAGCTTACCACGCGCGCGCTCTTTCATTGAACATCTTACGAATGTTGAACACGAATGCGCGCGGCGCTTGGGCGAGAGCCACATGTTGAAAAAAAAACTGCCTCAATCCGTGTAACTCTTGCAAATGTTTAAAAACAATGCGAACAACTCTCAGACGAAAGCGACATTTAGAACACGGCCCGCCCTCAAACCGTGAAGCTTTTGCAAATGGTTGAAACAAAAACAAATGCGCACGGCGATAAAGCGGTGACCAAAATTTGGAAATCACCCGCCCTCAATCCGTAAAACTATTGCACTTCTGATACAACGAATCTGCGCGGCGCTAAAGTCAGAGCTGCGGTTTGGACAGAAAAACGCCCTCAACCCATGGACTTTTTGCATGTGGTAAACGAATATGCGCGGCGTTAAGGCGAGAACCACATTTTGAAAACGGCCAGCCCCTCAATCCGTGTAGCTCTTGCGATGATGTAAACGAATGTGCGCGGCGCGGAAGCGAAAACCACCGTTTGAAAACCACCCGCACTCACACCGTGAAGCTCTTGCAATTCTCCTCAACCATCCTGTGGTGCTGGGTCCTCGTTTGAAAAGACAGCGCCCCGCGTTCTTCATTCCTCCTTCCTCCTCCCTCTCCTCCCTCCTCCGCAATTCGCATGCCACTCCCGCCCAGTACAGCGCTTCGTGGCCTCAGAGTGAACTCCACCGAAGGTCCCAGTGGTGCAGTTCGCATGATTTCCCCCAGCCAAGTACAGCGCTTCGTGGCCCCAGAGGGAGCTCCACCGAAGGTCCCAGGTGGCGCAGTTCGCATGGTTCCCCCCCTAGTACAGCGCTTCGTGGCCCCACCGAAGGTCCCAGGTGGCGCAGTTTGCATGTTCCCCCCGCCCAGTACAGCGTTTGGTGGCCCCAGAGGGAGCTCCACAGAAAAGGTCCCACTGGCGCAGTTCGCATGCGTCCCACCCCACCCACTACAGCGCTTCGTGGCCACAGAGGGGGGCCCACCGAAGGTCGCAGTGGCGCAGTTCGCACGCGTCCCCCATACCCAGTACAACGCTTCGTGGTCCCAGAGGGAGCTCCACCGAAGGTCCCAATGCAATGGCGCAGTTCACATGCGTCCCCCCCACCCAGTACACCGTTTCGTGGCCCCCCAGGGAGCTCGATCGAAGGTCCCAGTGGCGCAGTTCGCATGCGGCCACCCCACCCACTACAGCGCTTCGTGGCCTCAGAGGGAGCTCCACCGAAGGTCCCAGTTGCGCGCTTCGCATGCGTCCCCCCACCCAGTACAACGCTTTGTGGCCCCAGAGGGAGCCCCACCGAAGGTCCCAACGGCGCAGTTCGCATGCGTCCCCCCCACTCAGTACTGCGTTTCGTGGCCCCAGAGGGGGCCCACCGAAGGTCCCAGTGGCACAGTTCGCACGCGTCCCCCACGCCCAGTACAACGCTTCGCGGCCCCAGAGGGAGCTCCACTGATGCTGGCGCAGTTCGCATTCGTCCCACCCCGCCCACTACAGCGCTTCGTGGCCACAGAGGGGGCCCACCGAAGGTCGCAGTGGCGCAGTTCGCACGCGTCCCCCACACCCAGTACAACGCTTCGTGGTCCCAGAGGGAGCTCCACCGAAGGTCCCAGTGGTGCAGTTCGCATGCGTCTCCCCCTCCCAGTACGGCGCTTCGTGCCCATAGAGAGCTCCTCGGAAGACGATACCAACAACTGCGGCATTTACAATATCAATTGTTTGGTTCTTAGCCAGGCAAATTAAAAAGCGAATGTGCGCGGTGCTAGGGCGAGAGCCACATTTTGAAAACCACCCGCACTCCATGTGAAACTGTTGTCAAGTGCTTCAGGATCAGAAAAGAGCGTGTTCTACCGCTGCTGGCGGAAAGGCGGGGGGGGTCACTGGGGGTTCCTGACCCGTCCCCCCCCGCCCCCTCTCTCGAAAACCACGGGGGGCTCACTACCGGTTCGAACCTCGCCCAGTCCATCATGAAAAGGAAGGGGGGTCACTACCGGTTCGAACCCCCCCCCATCGAAAACCGGAGGGGGTCACTACCGGTTCGAACCCCACCCCCCGCTGGAAAACCAGGGAGGGTCACTACCGGTTCGAACCTCCCCCACCCCCCCCTCGCCGGCCGCCGGCAAACGATGCCCGCTCATCGGGACAGTTGTAGAATGGTGGGGATGTTGGGACAATGGTGGGAACGGTGGTTGTGGGAACAGAGGTGCGGGGACAGTGGGACAGTGGTGCGGACAGTGGTGGGGACGGTGGTGGTGGGGACAGTGGTGAGGGGACAGAGGGACAGTGGTGGGGACAGTGGGACAGTGGTGGGGACGGTAATGGTGGTGGGGACAGTGGTGATGGCGGTGGTGAGGACAGTGGTGGGACAGTAGTACAGTGGGGAAAGTGATGAAGACAGTGGGACAGTGATGGGGACAGTGGGGACGGTGGGACAGCACAGTGGGACAGCGGCGGGGACAGTGGGACAGTGGTGGGAACAGTGGAGACACGGGGACAGTGGTGGGGACCGTGGGGAAAGTTGGGAGAGTGGGGCCGTGGTGGGACAATGGTGGGGAAGAGTGGGGACAATGAGACACTGGTGGGACTGGTGAGGACATCGGGGACAGTGGTCGGAACAGTGGTACCGTGGGACAGTGGTGGGGACGGTGGTGGTGGGGACAGTGGTGTGGGGACAGTGGGAATGTGGGGGAAACAGTGAGACAGTGGAGGGTACAGTGGTGGTGGCGACAGTGGAGAGGGCGGTGGCGAGGATGGCGGTGGGATAATGGGACAAAGGTACAGTAGGGACAGTGGTGGGGACAGTGGTGGGGACAGTGGTGGAACAGTGGGACAGCTCAGTGGGACAGCGGCGGGGACAGTGGGACAGTGGGGACAGTGGGACAGTGGTTGGGACCGTGGAGAAAATGGGGAGAGTGGAACCGTGGTGGGAACAGTGGTGGGGACAGTGGGGACAGTGCGACAGTGGTGGGGGCACTGGTGAGGACAGTGGTGACGGTGGTGGGAACAGTGGGGAGGACAGTGGTGGTGAGGACAGTGGCGCTGGGGACAGCAGTGGGGGATGTGGTGCGGACAGTGGTAATTAGGGACCCAGAATTGTTTGCTGGCGGTGAGCGTGGGGGGGGGGGGGAGGGGTTCGAACCGGTAGTGACCCCCCCGGTTTTCGAGGGGCGGGGGTTCGAATTGGTAGTGACCCCCTCGGTTTTCGAGAGGGGGGGGGGTTCGAACCTGTAGTGACCCCCCCCCCCGTTTTCAATGGGGGAGGGGGGGGTTCGAACCGGTAGTGACCCCCCCCCGGTAGTGACCCCCCCCGGTTTTTTGGAGAGGGGGGGGGTTCGAACCGGCAGTGCCGGGGGGGTCGAAACCCCTGCTGGTAGGGGGGGGGGACTTGGGGGACCCCCCCCCAGTAGTGACCCCCCCCGGTAGTGACCCCCCCCTGGTAGTGACCCCCCCCGTTTTCTGGAGGGGGGGGGGATTTGGGGGAGGGGAGGGGGGGGTTTGCCGGGGGGAAGGGGGGGGGGGAGGTCCAGCAGGGGGGGGGATTTTCGGCGGAGGGGGGGGGGGGAACCCCGGGTTTGGGAGGAAGAGGGGGGGAATTTTCCACAGTAAAGCGGCGGTGGATCACGCTCTCTCAAATATGGCGAGGCAATCTCTAGCGAAACACCCGGCCCGCCCTTTCGACTGGCCTCGGGGTGCGACAGGGAGGAGTTACCGATAAGAAAAAGGAATGGGGAGGAGGAGGAGGAGAAGGAGGAGGAGGAGGAGGAGGAGGAAGAGGGTGAGGAGGAAGAGAGTGAAGAGGAAGATTGGATCAAACTCCACAGCAGAAGCCTGGCTGGACCGACTCGCAACACAAGACACATCCCTGCGATGGCATTGTGCCGCGAAAACATCCAGAGGAGCAGGAGTAGGACGACAACAGACAGGGGGGAGGACAGGCGAGGAAGAAGGAACGGGCAAAGGCAGCGGGGTAGAGGGGGAATATCAGACTGCCTCCCCCCCCCCCGACACGTCCTGCGTGGTCATTCCACTCCTCCTCAACATACCACTCTCCCTCTTCCCTCTCATTCCCTCTCCTTCCTTCTCCTTCCACTTCGTCCCCTCCTCCCCCTCATGTTCGTCCCTGTCCTCCGCTCTTGCTCCCTCCTCCCTCGTCCTATCCCACCTCCTCCTCCTCCTCCTCCTACTCCTTCTCATCCATCTGCTCCGCTTCTCTTCCCCCTCCCTCTTAATCCTCCTTCCTTACCCGCGTCCTCCATACCTTCCTCCAGACCCTCCTCCTCCTTCTCCTCCTCCCTCTTCCATACACGTCTCTCCCGTCCGTCCTCCCTCCTCCCTTCCTCCTCCCCTCCTCCTCCTCCTCCTCCTCCTCCTCCTCCTCTTCCTCGGGTCGGGTGGGCGCCGCCCTCGAGGCCCTCCAGAGAGCCCCAAGAAGGGCCAAGAGGCCCCCTAAGAGGCCCCCAAGATGTAACAAGAGGGCTCCGAGATGCCGCAAGATCACTCCAAGATGCCCAAGATTGTCCCCAGACGCCCCTAAGAGGCTTCCAAAAGCAATCCCAAGAGGGCCTCAAGAGGTACAATTCTTTGATTCCCCTAAGGTTTTGGACAGATTTGGGCGTTTTCCCCCTTTTCGGCTTCCCGACGCCTCAAGACGGTCCAAGAGGTCCCCAAAATCACCCCAAGAGGGTCCAAGAGGGCCCCAAGAGAGCCCCAAGACGGCCCAAGGACCGCCCAAGACGACTCCAAGACGGCCCAAGAAGGGCCCAAGAACGCCCCAAGAGAGGCCCCGGAGGGGGAACACGAAACAACATTTCGAGCACTCGGCCATAAGCAGCCCCCAGGAGGTCCCCAGAGGTCCCTAAGGGGCCCCAAGAGCCCCCAAACAGGCGGTCAGGAGGCCGCCAAGAGGCCCCCAAGAGCTCCAAAAAGACTCCAGGTTCAGACGTCCCCGAAAGCCTCGGAGAACTCCCAAAAGTTTCCTGTGCACTGCCTCCATGTGCGCGAAAATGGGCTGGTGGAATGAGCGAAGCGAGAAAATACGACGAAGATGGTTGTGATGATGATGATGATGATGATGATGATGATGATGATGATGATGATGATGATGATGATGCTGATGCTGATGGTGATGATGATGATGATGATGATGATGATGATGATGATGATGATGATGATGATGATGATGATGATGGTGATGGTGATGATGATGATGATGATGATGATGATGATGATGGTGATGATGATGATGATGATGATGATGATGATGATGATGATGATGATGATGATCCCTGCTCGTCATATTCGTCATGCTCGTCGTACTTGTCGTCGTCGTCGACGCCGTCGCCGCCGCCGCCGTCGTCGTCGTCGTGGCCTTTGCCGCCGTCGTCGTCGCCGCCGCCGTCGTCGTGGTCGCCGCCGTCGTCGTCGTCGTCGCCGTCGTCGCCGTCGTCGCCTTCCTCGTCGTCGTCGTCGTCGACGAGCACCGCGCCTCGCAGTGGTCGCCCACCGCCACCGCGGGGAGCGCGGGCGGCAGCGGCTCCGACGCCGGCGCTGGGTACCTCCACCGCCCCCGCTCGCTCCTCTCTCCTCTCCTGGCCTGGGCCGTCACGGCCTGCCCTCCCTCCGGGGGGGGGGGCAGGGAGGAGGGGGGAGGAGAGACGCAGAGGGGAGGGGTACCTCCCCAGCCCCGCTCTCTCCTCTCTCCTCGCCTTGCCTGGTCGGGCACGGCCTGCCCTCCCTCCAAGGAGAGGGAGGGAGGGGAGAGAGGCTTTCGCGCAACTTCTCTGCAAGGCTTCTGTCAGCGGCTCCCGAGGGTTTTTGGAGGCTCTGGGTGGTCCCAGGGGGCCGAGGTCCCCTCTCCTTCTTTCCCCCCCCCCCCCCCCCCTTCCCGTCTTCCAGGAAGGTCAGCGGCACTTCTTGTCGAAGTCCAGTGGGGGGCCAAGGGGAGGGGAAGAGGGAGAGGGAGCGGGGGGGGGAGGAGGGCGAGGAAGTGCAGGAGCAGGAGGAGGAAGAGTGAAGAGTAGGGAAGAAAACATGTGGCAGTGAACTTGGCTTGCCTCTATCCCTTCGCCTCTGTTGCCTCCTCCTCCTCCTCCTCAAAGTTGTCATCCCCCTCGAATTCCTCCTCCTGGCCCTTCCTCCTCCTCCTCGAAGTCGTGCTTCCCCTCCATCCCACTCATCCTTCCTCCTCTTCCTTACCGAACTCTCCTCATCCTGCCTTCCCCCACAAATCCCTCTACCTCGTCGTCATATGCCTCCTCTCTCCGTCTCCTCCTCCTCCTCCTCCTCCTCCTCCTCCTCCTCCTTGTCCTACCCTTCCTCCATACCCTCCTCCTCCTCCTCCTCCTCCTCCTTCTGTGGCTAATTCTACTTCCCTCTCCTCCTCCTCCTCGTGCTCCTCCTGTTATTCCCCTTCTCCCATGTGCGCTGGCACGAAGATCGAAATAGGTGATGAGGGAGGGAGGGAGCGAGGATCATGAGAATGACGACGACGATGGCTATGCTGAACACGAGGAAGAGGTGTACAAAATCTTGCTATAATGAACCCGGGGTAAGGATCGAAACTTCTTTTCTTTTTGACCTGGTTGCGTCTAAACTTGCAAATGGCCCAATGACGACCCGGAGTACAAACCGAAGAACCCACGAGCCTCTTCCAGACCAAGCACGTTCCCGATGTCAGCGCCCCGGCTGTAGAAGGAGGTGGATCCCCCTCAAGCCGTCTTGAGGCCCACAAGTCCCGACTGCGTCACGCAAGCACGCAGTTGACCCGCACGCAGTGCACTGCGAAGCCAGCTGCAGAATAGGAGGATGAGCACGACGACGAGGAGCAGGAGAATGGGGAGCGTGCGCGCGCAGCTAAATTATGTTTATACCGGTGCTTTCTCTTCGTCGATCCCCATCGCCCCGAGGCCCAAATGAACCCCAACCCCATCACGCGCGCAAGCTCAACCTTGGCCGGTCCGTGGCGCACTGCGAGCCCGTCTGTGGCATCGCGGCGGCGGCGTCGCTCAGGGAAACCTCGCGCGCGCGCCGGCTCCTTGGCATCGTCGTCTCGTCCTCCACATCCTCCTCCCCGTATTCGCACACGTCCTTCTCGTGTTCATTGCGCATCCCCCTCCTGCATCACGGTCCGCATCCTTCTCTTCCGTATCCTCCTCCCTCAACCTCCTCCTCCTCCTCCTCCTCCTCCTCCTCCTCCTCCCCCTCCTCCTCCTCCTCCTCCTCCTCCTCCTCCTTCTCGTTGTGTTCCTCATCCTTCGCTCTCCCATATGGCTGCCTCCCCCATGCTCCGTCAACGCTCCCTCCCCCCTGCTCCTGCTACTCCCCAACTTCATCTTGATCACGCATCTGTGTTTTTTGCTGCCGCTGCTGCTACTGCTCCTGCTTTGTCCCAACCATCCTGTGGTGTTGGGTCGTCGTTTTGAAGAGACAGCGAGCGCCCTGCGTTGTTCCTCACCCTTTTTCTCCTCCTCGTCACTCCTCCCCATCCTTCCCATCCTCGCACCAAGTACAGCTCCCAGGCGCTCCCAGGCGCTGCGAAGCCAGGCGCTCCCAAGCGTTCCCAGGCGCTCTCCAGGCGATCCCCAGGCGCTCCCGCAGGCGCTCCCGCAGGCGCTCCCACGCGCTCCACTGAAGGCCCCAGTGGCTGTGATCACAATCGTCTCCCTCGACCCATTTCGGGACGCCCCTCGCGAGTTTCGTGGCCTGACGGAGGAGCATGGCGGAGGAGGAGGAGGAGGAAATTGAGGAGAGGAGGATGAGGAACACTTTTATGACTAGTCTTATTCACCACCGAACAGCGCATTAACCCCTGGGAGAAAGAACGCCCCAACATCACCCAGCGCGTCCAACAATAGAGGGGCAATACTCTCCGCCGCGACGACAACGAATCTTACAACTACGACTAAGATTACGACTTAGCTTTCGGAAACCAGGACGACAATTACGACTACAGTCGCGTCTACACTCACAATTACATACACGACCACGGTCACTACTTCAACCACAACCACTGATGCATGTTGCCATCCTCATGAGAAGAATATCATACATCCCCTCGCGTGTAGGGTGGCCCACACTTGCTCATTCCCTGGGAGAAGGACCCCCGAAACATTATCCAGCCCGCTCAACAATAGAGGGACAATGATCTCGCCGCGACGACGACGACGAGGATGGATGGAGGAGGAGCAGGAGGAGGAGCAGTAGGAGGAGGCGCGAATGTGTTCCCCGCCGAGAGAAAACGAGGGGGGGCAAAACTAAAGACCTCCTGAGGTTAGGCTGTGACGGATGAGGTCCCACAGCCCAAAAGGCAATCCATGGCCGCGCGGGCGGCCAACCGTGGGATCGGACGTGAAAAAGGGTTACTCGGGGCACCCGAGCGTGCTGCCCATTTGGAGCCAAAATGGCTACGGACCTTCTTCCCCTCCTCTTCCTCACCATCCTGGTCCTCCCTTCTCCTCCTCCTCCTCCTCCTCCTCCTCCTCCACTTCCTCCAGCCCCTGCTTCCTCCTCCGAATGTTCCCTCCCCCTTTCCCCCATTACCTGTCTCCCCCCCTCCTCATCACTCTCTTCCTCTCCACCTTCCGTCCCGCCTCCTGTCCGTCTCTCCTCCAGCCTCTTGCCTTCCCCCGTTCTGGCCTGCAGCGCGGACGTGAGGCTGGAGAGGGAGAACCTCTGACCCGCCGTGCTCTCCGCCAGCTTCTCCTCGGGGGGGTGGGGGGTCGCGGCCAAGCGTCCTCGGATTCCGCCGCTCCCTGCGACGACGGGAGGCGCGCCAAAGGGGGAGGCCGGAGGAGGAGGGCGGGGGACGGAGGAGGAAGTAAGACGGAGGAGGAAGGAGGAAAGAGAAGGAGGAGGGGGAGGAGGGGGAGGAGGAGGAGGAGGAGGAGGAGGAGGAGGAGGAGGAGGAGGAGGAGGAGGAGGAGGGGGAGGAGGATGAGGAGGAGGAGGAGGAGGAGGAGCAGGCGGAGGCGGAGGCGGAGGCGGAGGAGGAGGCGGAAGAGGAGAAAGAGAGAGGAAAAGGACGGAGGAGGACGGAGGAGGAAGGAGGACGGAGGAGGAACGAGGAAGGAGCCTGGAGGAGGAGGGGGGAGGACGGAGGAGAGGATAGGACGGGGTTAATGTCTGACCAACTGCCGCCAGAGGGGCCCCGTGTGGCGCCCCCGGGGAGCGGGCTGGGGGCGCGCGGCGGGCGCGAGCCGCTCCCGCGCGAGCTCCAGCTCCACCAGGCGCTCCTGCTGGGCGACGGAGAACTCCTGGGGCAGTCGTCGTGCTGCCAGGAGGAACGCATCAGAAGGAGCGAAGGGGCTTTTCTGGCAACGGCGGGCCTGGGTCACGAACAAACTCCACGTCATAAATCTAAGGAACGGCTCGAAAACCCGAGCGCCTCCTGAGCCCAAGGTCTGGTTCTTACTTCAGAGTCTTGATTGTAAGGATCGGTAAGATCAATCAGCATCGTATCATCGGCACATCGGGTCGATTCACCATGTTCATCGGATCGGGCCGCACTGGCACGGAACCAGAATCGAATCGGGTCGGGCGCACCAAGATACACAACAACGCCATGTGAGCATCGGGCAACATCGGATCGCCAGTACATCTGAATCGAATCGGATGGAACTGGGCCCTGATCGGCCTGCATCCATAGAGGCAGTTCTAGAAAAGAAGGGGTCAGCATTCAAGGCTCAATGGTGCAGGCGCTGCAGATCGGCCTCGCCCCAGCAGACGAAGCGGCAAAAGCGCCCACATGCTCGACATGCAGACGTAGAGGAATCATCATTAGGATCGTGGCCACGCTGCCCCACAACACCCAAGCCCAAGCACGTAGAGTGGGGAGAGGGGGGAGACACCCACCGCCGACTGTGGGAATCTGCCGATCCCTTGGGGTCACGGCGTGTGAAATGCTTCCCCCTCCCCAAACCCCTCCACGGGGAGCCCGATCCGGTCTGGTTTGCATGGGGGGGGGGGGGTGCAAAGGTGCCGGCCGCACCCTTGGAGCCTCAGGGGGCCCCGAAACGGACCAAGAGGGCCCCAAAAGGCCTCGCGGACGGTCCAAGAGGGCTACGAGTCGCCGAAAGATCGCTCCAAGACGCCCAAGATTGCCTCCAGACGGTCCCAGAGGCCCCCAAGACGCCCCAAGAGTCCACCAAGAGGCGTCCCAAGAGGCCCTCCAAACATAAATCGTCCCATCCCCGAGGGAAAACGTATACTTTTAGCACATTCGCCTCTTGGGCTTTCACGAGGCGCACAACGGCTCAAGAAGCCTTTAAGATCGACCCAAGATAACCCAAGAGGCTCCAAGAGGCCTCCAAAACGGCCCAAGAGGGCCCCAAGACGGCCCCAGAAGCTTCCAAAACAACCCTGGAGGGCCCCAGGCCTGCACCAGGAGGAGGCCCAGAGGGGGAACCCGAGTGAACATTTCGGGCACTCGGCCCCGTAAAAACCTGAAGAGGCCCAGGCCAGAAGGCCACACGATTCAGGGGGTACCAGAGACCTCGGGGAACGGTTGCGACCCACGCCGCACGCGATGGCGCGCATGCGCCACGGGTGCCTCGGCCTCCTCGCGGGAGCCGACGCCGGGGGGGGGAGGGACGGAGGAGGAGCAGAAGCAGATGAGGGAGGGACCCCTGAAGAAAGAGTAACTTTGCAATCGCCTCATCCCCGTCCTCCTCTGCCGCCCCGTCCTCGTGTTCTAAGGGCAAATCATTGCTCACACGTAATATTTCAAGATGTCTGTGTCACAGCCCCTGCAAAAACCAGCCCTGAGATCCGCCTTGCACCCATTGAATGTCCGAATGCTCGTGTGCCACCTTGCCCTCGATCACTGATCTGGGGGCGTGACAGGGTGCCTCTCGTCCGCCTGGTCGAGTTTATGTATGCTTCTTGGGGGCGACCGACTCCGCCCCCCCGCGCCCCACTAACGGTGTGCATATTTCAGAAATCGCCCTCCTCCACCCTACACCCCCCCGTGCGTTGCTCCCTGGAGCTCCTCGGCCCCAGGACCACTCCAAGACCGCCGGAACGCCCCAAGAGCTGCCCGAACACTCCTCCAGAGGCCTCCGACAAGCCCTGGGAATCCCAAAACCAAGTGAGGAGGCCCGGGATTCTGGGCCCAAGATGCCCTCATGAAGGCATCGGGAAGCCCCAAGACGTCCTCCAGGAGCCCCAAGGCGGCACGAGAGCCCCCCACAGAAAGCCAGAGACGGCCCCGAGAGAATTCCCAATACGGCCCCGAGACTCGACCAAGCTGCCCAAGGATGAGTCTGTCAGCACAATTTGGGGAGCTCGGCAGAGCCAAACCGCCCACCCAAGCACTATGTCTCCGCCGTGCGCTGACGCGCGCGGGTCCGAGGAGACGGAACGCTAGAGGCCTCCCCGATGGGGCCGAAACGAATGGTGTCGGATGGTCGATGCACCCGAAGACGCTGCTTCTTCCCTCTGGCGCTCTCCCGTGCTGCGGTGATTTGTCTGCTGCCTCGTTGCTGTGTCAGGCGCCTGCCCACGTGATTAACATGTACCCTCGATGGCGCAGTGGTGTGATGCTCAGGTGTAGCCCAGCTGAAGAAGTGCCTTCAAGACCGAAACGTCCACTCCTCCTCCTCATCCACCACCGCAACTTCGTCAGCATCCTCTGTGTTGTCCGTCTCCACCACTTCCTCGTCTTTCTCTGCCTCCTTGTCCCTCCACCTGTTTCCGTAGCCATTTTAGCTCAAGTCCAGAGTAAGCGGCTCAGAGACCTTGAGTGTGGCAAGGGGCAAGTGCGCCCCCACCTGCGATCCCTGAGCCGCGCGCTCAGGAACATTATTTGTGAATTCCTGTCGGAGCAACACGTCCCCGTACTGCCCTTGTGTGCCACGACGACTTTCTCTTTGGTGAGCTCCTGCCGGAGCCCGGGAGAAAGCACCAGGATGCGAAACACTACATCTCGTGTACGTCGTGTCGCTACCGCTGGAACTGGAAGATCAGGGTCTTCTGCCTCCAAGGCGACGCCACGCCCGCCCCGCTCGAGGTGCCGTGGCGAGAAGCGGCCCAAGGCGTATGGGCGGGCTCGGGAGGTGCCCCAGGCCAGGGAGGGCCGCACCCGCAGCATAGCTCGGTGGCCTGGCGGCCCGCCAGCCCGCCTGGCGAGCGGCAGTGGGGTCCGCGGCCGCCCGCCCTCGAGACACCGAAGGGTTCGACACCGCCGCCGCGCGGGGCGGCGGCTGCGCCAGGCGGCTTGGCGACGGTGGACCTCCTCGCGCAGCTCAAGCAGCGGCCGGGTGGCGCAGCAGGCGCAGCCGAGCTCCAGGCGCCTGAGAGTGCCATTGGGCCGCCGCAGCAGCAGGCCAATCCGCCGAAGCCTCCCCTCCTCGAGGCGGAGCTGTCGGCAAAGGGCGTCGCCTGCCGCCGTGCCGAGGCCAACCTCGACCAGTGCGTGGCCAAGGAGAACGGGGCGCGCACTTGGCGCGAAGAGTGTCGGGTGGCGAAGGCGGCGGCGGCAGAGGCGGCGGTCAAGGCAAAGCAGGCGTGGCAGGCGGAGTTGCAGAACGAACTCAACAAGGCCAGTGGGGGGCGACCTGGCAATGCCAGCACGTCGGCGGCTTCATCGATCCCCACGGGCTCGCAGATCAATCTGTCTCAGCTGCTCAACGCAGAAGTCTGGGATCGACTCAATGGAGATCGTCGATCTCACCGGCCTCGAGGTGGACAAAAACAGATCGGAAGCGCTAGCTCAAGGCCAGCATGGGAAAAGACATCCAGAACGCCATTATGTCTGCCATCTGTCCCAGCGCAAAGAACATCCAGAGGTATTAGCAGGAGGCCAGGGAGATGCGCCAGCGGCACTCCACCAAGCGCGACAGAAGGAACCTGCCGCCCATATTGTGACCGCAGAGGGTGCTGGCACTCCTCCTCCTCCTCGTGCTGGTGGCGCGTCTCACGCCGTTCGCGGAGGCGGTCGTTATTTAGCGGAGCGGCCTCCTCTGCTGCAAGCGCAGCTGCCTCAGCCAGTGGTTCTGCCACCCCCACCAGCGACCAGACTGCTGCAGCCATCCAAGAGGTTCGGCAGCGGGTCAGACTGGCCTTTGACGGAGGTGTGCATTTGATGGGGCTCCCCCGGTGGCCTGCCGCTGCCGAGGCCAGGTCCTGACTGGGCCAAGACAGATTTGTTGGCCAGGATGCCTGGCTGGATTGTTCGATGGGTGTGGGGCCTGAAGGTTCAGCCTTTTTAGATCAGCCGTCCTGGATGGACTGGTGCAAAGCTTGGCTTGCACCAGTCCTGAGGCAGCCTGCCAAAGGCGAATTGGCGTCGGTTTCCGCGCAGCGCTTCGGCCCAGCGAAAAGGCTCGGCCAAGGAGGATGTTGTTTTTGCAGGCCATCACCGATGCCTGTTTGGAAGCATGGGCCCGTGGCAGGGGTCGGCGTAACAGGTTGATCAGCATGTGGGGGAAGCTGACCGAGGCTGTGCGCGACGAGCTTGCCCGTTATCACTGGGACCAGTAGCAGAGCATCGCAGACATGTCCAGGGCGCCGCTGGGTCGCCGCGGGAGAGCTGCTTCTTCGGGCCGCACAAGCGCCCTTGGGGAGCCAGTCTGCCAAGGGCCAGGGCGGACCCTGAGGGGAAGGGGCAGCGAGCTCGCGTGTGAGGCCGCACACGTGCGGGCGATCGATGCCCTCCCCCCTGCTCAGCCGCCGCCCTGGGCCGCTCGTGAGCGGACCGCAGCCCCAGGGCCGAGCGCCGCCCCCCGTCCTCGGGGAAGCGTGCGGCCACTGGCCTGGGCAGATCCTAAAGGGAGGGGGCGGCGAGCTCGCGCGGGAGGCCGCAGGCCTGCGGGCGGCCGAAGCCCTGCCCCTTGCGCAAACTCCGCCCTGGGCCGCTCATGAGCGGACCGCAGCCCCAAGGCCGAGCGACGCCTCCCGCGCTGCCTTTCGACGGCCGGATCGGAGTGGCAGCGGCCTCCCTCAAGTCTAACGCGCGGTCCACGGGCCTGAAGTTCCTGGAGCGGAGCAGAGAGCTACGGGCGCAAATCTGCGACACCGTCCTGTCTCAGGAGAACCGACTCGAGAGCCCCCCGTTCGCGGGGCCCCGCTCTTGGGCTTACAACGCGGGCTACACCTCCACCTTCGGCGCGGCGGCGAGGACGGGACTCAGTGGGCGTGAGACGTCAGGTGGCACTGCGGTTTCGGTCAAGTCGCAGCTTGGCGCAGTCGACCTTTTTTATCCTCGACTGTCTGAAAGGATGGTGGCCAGGATAATGGTCTATTTCGGTGTATGGGA